TGGTTTCGGGCGGTCCTGGTGCGCCAATGTGAGACGGTGTCGGATACACCCCTCGCAGCGGCAATCCTCGGCCGCTGTTCCACTGCTCTCCGGCCATGCAAACTACCTGCTTTGCCCGCGCATCACCGCGGAACGATCCATACCCTTTTTTAGCACCCACCCATGTCACGCGAAGAGGAACTCATATCTTTTCGAACGGTTATAGGTGTCAGGATTCAAAGCTGGGGGCGTTCGTCGCTTTACTTTCCGACCAGGTTCGACATTAGGATCTTAAATCCGCATACGACACTTTCATGTTCAACGGAAAACCCATTGCCCTGGGCATTCCATACGTGTGCAGTCCCCCACAGCCATTATAGCTCGTACCTGAGCATTCCCACCCACAGACACAATGTTGTTTGTTCCACTTTCTGTGCAGGCCTCTTCGTCATCGCTTCTTCTGCTGCCTTCTGTAGCTACTTGGCAACAACCTTTTTCAAGGCACTGCGCTTCCTACATACTTCTTGACAGTTGGTTGTGTAGACTTCCTTCGTACACTCACGCACGTCTGCGTTCGTTTTGCTGGCCAGGTCACTATTTCAGCGACTCTGCGTCCTGAGGCGCCGTCCTGCAAGCACACGTTCTTACGTTCGTTGGCTGTGGCATGCTTTCGCATGAGAGTGTTAGGCACTTCGTTTTTCGTCTCATGCATCTGCGCAATTTCGTTTCTGCAAGCCATACAGCTCGGAGGCACAGTGTCTAGTGGGTCCACCGTCTGCCCACATGCCGCCCTCAAAGGCCAGCTGTCCAGATGATGATGAGCAGCTTCGCGCCTTTCGGGCATGCCCCGTCCTCAAGCCAGAGCCTTTTGAAGCTTGGCTACCTGACGTCATGTGGGCTGCCCATATGCTAGCTGACACATTGGCAGTTTGTTGGGAATGGGGCTTACTGGCTCTGTTGACTGTGGCTTCCGGCTTAGTCCCGGAGGATCGTTTCGAGCCAGCTCCATCCATCAGCATCCCGTCTTCTTTGTGGGTTGTGCTGTTACATCCGGGCGCAACCAACAGCTCCGGAGTCGTGCAAGCCATCGCAACATCCGTGGCAACTATGTTCGACTGGCTGTATGCTTATGAAAACAACCGGGACCTTGCTGCGCAACGAGAGGAAGCCCCTCGTCGTCAACTGCTAGCAGGCGGTGGCTCCTTAGCGGCTACGGGCTTGCAGATGAGTTTGCAACAAAATCGAGGCGCAGCTTTGTCTGTGGAACCTGAAATAGAACAAGTTCTTTCTTGGTTCACAGCTGAAAGCAGCATTGACCGTGCCGCGCCTGCCAAGCTTTGGGATGGCTCTGACTGGCACAGACCAGTGATGGACAAAACCCGCGCCTTCACCGTCCACAAACCCTGGTTTGGCTGCTGCTCCGGTGGCCACATCCCGGAAATGCATAAGGCCACTCTGCAGGATGTCTTTGGCTTGCGGCAACGCGTCACCGCCGTCTATGGTGCGCCCAAATGGAGCACCATTGCGGAGGTTCGCTCCGCTTGTGCCAAGCTCCCAACACAAAGCCACAAACCTGCGCAGTTCATGGCGGGCCTTTGCTACCAATTGCTGCGGTGGGCTGTCGGTCGGGACGGCATGACCTTTATACCCTGTCCTGGCGATGGCGCGCAAGCTTTGGTGGATGAAAATTTTGATGAACACATGGCCATGCAGCAGGATGCTTTCTTGCAGCCAGGGAGACATGAGGAAGCCAAGTACCATGGAAAGCTCCGCACGAAATTCAACCGTATGGCTTTAGCTTTGCATGTTCTGCAAGCAGTCTGCGCAGCCTGGCGCTCGACACAGGATGCCACAGACATCGCAGATACATGGGGCCTTAACTTCCAGGCAGATGCGCAGATCCCCAAGGACGTCTTTCAATTTGCTTATGCCTTCTGCGACCATGCAGAAGCTGTGTGGCGACTTTTAGATTTTGCGCGGACAGGGCATGCTTTGCCATCAGACCCAAGTGCTCAAGACATCCAGTCCAGTCAGCTGCCTCTAGCCCCTCCGGAAAAAACATATGATTTTGAATCTTTGATGACTGCGATGCGTGGCAGCCAGCATGGCCCTGGGAATGACGACCTGGATGCCATCACAGAGTTGGGAGCGGCTTTGCCAGGCATCTTGTTGCGCTTTGTGCAACGTCTGCCCTTGCATGGCTTTACTCTGGCCATCTTGCTGAAATTCATGGAGGCTGTCCTCAGCGTTGGTGTGGGCTCTTGGTTCTACTGGAACCAATCTGATGCCGCAAAGAGAAAGTTGGCCAAGATTTGGAAGGAGCATACACACTTTGGCGTCTTTCTTGCATGCCTCATGCTGCAAAGCTTAGGTCTGGGGCAGTGGTGTCGGTCCATCAAAACTGCAGGTGGTGGCCGTGGCATTTGGTTCTTTGAAAAGCGGAAAGTGTAAGAACATTGGCAATGAAAAGTGCAGCAGGACAGCTTATGACATCTGTCAGTCAGATGACATTCGCAAGTATGTCATCAGATATACGGTTGCGCGCCAACAATACAACAATACAAAACACATACACACAAAGCAATAGGTGGGGAAAACAAATCACAGCTAATTAATGACAAAATGAAAAAATGGTAAGGCCACACTCCTATCCCTCCTCCGGCCCCCTCCCCAGTGGTTCCTTTTCGATGGTTTCTGCTGGATGATCTGGTTTTCAACCAAGATAGCAGGACAAAAAAAAACGAAAAACGTATCAGGAAAGAGGGGAGCAGTAGAAAATATGAGGAACCGTAGGAAATTAAAAAAATGGGTCTGCGCAATAGGCAGCAACGCAAGCCCGTAGTGCCGACCTGACTCGGATCTGCATGTCGTCGCGTCGGCCCCTGTGAGAGATTAAGGTCATGTATCATAGCTTTGCTGCTTTCACAGGAGCCGCAGGTAGCAAGATGCAGATTATCAGATTGCAATTCGCTGCGTGCATGCTGGTTGCTTGAACATCTAGATTTGCTTTCACGTATTGTTCTCGATCTCAGGGTTTAGCAAGAGATGTGCATGCTCCGCTTTTCCGCCTATAAGATTGTTTGGGTGAAGTGAAGAGTTGAAACTCACCCTGGTTTGTGGAAAAGGATGTTAAACGAGGTGGGAGTACCCCGAGAAGGAGGTAGCATATGTAGGCATTTCATGTATGGCATGTTGATATTGAAAACAGGTGCGGTGTGAGTGAACGCAGTCAGGCACCCAAAACAGTATGAGAATTTTGGAGAACGAGGTAGGAACGCCCCGTCGATTGCACGATGTGCCCCCTGGCTCACGTGCTGATTCGAGAGGGGGTGCTACAGCACGTACGCCAGCTTATTGCAATTTGCTCATTGACACTGCCTCTCATTAGATGGTGCCTGGTTCCGTACCTGGTCTCAACACAGGTCCCTTGAGCGCACAAACAAATCCCGCGCCATGATGCAGTTGGAAGGGCGCAGGAGTTGGACGTCTAAGTCTTACAATGACCTTCATCATAAACCATGGGCTCAGCGTCACCACCCTCATTTGTCATTGTCATTGTCATCGTCATCACCGCAAAAGGCACCGTGAATGTTGACTTCATTTGCGTTACTGTAATATTTCTATCGGCCTCACAGTTGACCAGCACCATGAAATTTTGTGAAAAATCGCTGCTCAGCATGAAGAAATCGTTGCTGAGGAGCCGACTGTTGTGGACGAGGTGCGCACGGGCACCTATCGTCAGCTCTTTCATCCGGAGCAGCTGATCAGTGGCAAGGAAGACGCGGCAAATAATTTTGCGCGTGGGCATTACACCATCGGCAAGGAAATTGTGGATTTGGTGTTGGACAGAATTCGAAAGCTCGCAGACAATTGCACAGGCACCATGGATAGGATAGCATTGTTCACATTTTTGTTTCGCCAATGAAAAGCCAAGGCGTGTTATGTTAGCATCTGCTTTGGTACTCGTACCCCATGTTCTTTGTTCTTGTAGCGCAACAATTGGTTCAGGATTGCAAGGATTCTGTGTTTACAATGCCTGCGGTGGTGGCACTGGATCCGGCCTTGGTTGCCTGATGTTAGAGCGTCTTTCGGTGGATTATGGGAAGAAAAGCAAGATCTCCTTCACAGTGTGGTGTTGCCCTCAAGTCGCAACCGCTGTGGTCGAACCCTATAACACTGCCACTGGGTGGTCAACTCTTGTTGTTGTTGTTGTTGGTGGTGGTGGTGGTGGTTGTTGGTTGTTGGTTGTTGGTTGTTGGTTGTTGGTTGTTGGTTGTTGGTTGTTGGTTGGTGGTTGGTGGATGGTGGTTGGTTTTTTGGTTATGGTTGGTTGGTTGTTGTTGTTGGTGGTGGTGGTGGTGGTTGTTGGTTGTTGGTTGTTGGTTGTTGGTTGTTGGTTGTTGGTTGTTGGTTGTTGGTTGTTGTTGTTGTTGTTTTTTTTTGTTGTTGTTGCTGCTGCTGCTGTAATTTTAAAGTTTAGTTTTTGATTGCGTCGTTAGGCGAGAAACAACTTGTGGGCCGTTGTGGGTTCACCGAATTGCAGATAAAGGTGCTGTGCGTGCACTCCTTGCTTGAGCACACGGATGTGACGATCATGTATGACAACGAAGCTCTCTATGATATTTGCCGAAGGAACTTGGACATTGAACGCCCAACCTACACCAATTTGAACCGGCTGATTGCTCAGATCATCTCGAGTTTGACCGCCTCCCTTCGCAACTCGGTCACAGCATCCTGCGTGGAAATGGGTTTGACTGGTGTTTTTGAATTAATTCCATCCCCCTATTGAATGCCTCCCATATTGACCCCAAACCGAACAGATCAACGCTTAAAGTAGGGTTTTACGGGGAACGGATGAATTCAAAAATTCCGCTTTACGGACACATACATCAAACGACCAGGTTTCGATGGTGCACTGAATGTCGACATCACCGAGTTTCTGAGATGCACATATCATATGTATAATCTTATTTTTTCCCTTCAATAATTCTGAGATACACACATCTCATATTTTTGTCCCCTCAATAATTGCCAAATATATATATATATTTCACTGTACTTGTATATTTTTTTGTGCGCCCTTGTGACTGCGACGCATCCAAGATTCCAGACCAATTTGGTCCCGTACCCTCGCATTCATTTCATGTTGACCTCTTATGCGCCGGTCATTTCGGCGGAGAAGGCCTATCATGAACAGTTGTCGGTGGCAGAGATCACCATGTCCGTTTTCGAACCAGCCTCGATGATGGTGAAATGTGATCCTCGTCACGGCAAATACATGGCCTGCTGCATGATGTATCGTGGAAACTGGGCCGGACCATCGCGGGTTGATCCAAAATGGGGGGATACCATGGGATATTGCGTGGATTCGAGAATCATTTTCCGCATTCAAATAGCCAGAAATTGGGGTAAATCATTTCATATGCCTGGCCAACCCCTTGAATAATTAGGGTACGTTCAGTTTTTGACATTTAATTCCTGATTTGTTGCTGGTCAAACCCTCCATTTGCGGAAAACACCCACTGTTTTTTCCTCAAGATGTCAGCTCATGTTAAATCCCAAAGTTTTTTCAACACCAACCAAGGAAACCAGTGTTTCCACTTGTATATTGGATGAACTCAATCAGCCAACGTTTCGACTTTCGTTGATCGATAAACAACTCTCCTTTCATTCGCGGCCGAGGAGACGTGGTGCCAAAGGATGTGAACGCAGCAGTGGCAACCATCAAGACCAAGCGCACCATCCAATTCGTGGATTGGTGCCCCACTGGCTTCAAGTGTGGCATCAACTATCAACCACCTACAGTGCCTCAACTTGTATGTTTGACAGAATTTCTGACCAGTAATTTTCTTTTGGGAGGATTTCTTCCTAACATATTTCATCCGTTTTTTTGGCACAATGAATGGGGGATCTCCGTTGCTGGATCGCCTTCGCCAGGTGGTGCCGGGAGGTGATTTGGCCAAGGTCATGCGTGCCTGCTGTATGATTTCCAACTCCACCGTCACTTCGCAGCAATCACACCAATCACGGTGGTTTCTGAGCGCTTGAAGTGAATGAAAAGCAGGAAATTCACCAGCAAAGATAGGGATATCATGGGGATGTAACTACTTGATATTACTTGATATGATGGTTGGGTGTCTGAAAATGGGGTCATCTCCCCAACATGGATCAAAATTGCCGTTTTAATATTCTTTTTATGGGAAAAGCGATGATTGACTATGATTGACTATTTAGGGGCACCCTACTTCCCGACAAACCCATATGGTTTGAATATATCTGAGCATGATCTTATTCCAGTGCTGGCAGAAAAACACAGGATTTGTCAGGACTTAGAACAAAAACACGAAATATTGTCGCTATAAGCATGGTCAACTTACTTCGCTTATGCACGGTTTTTTGCCCCTCCGTTTGTTGCCTTGGTGTAGGGAGACCATGTCCTGCAGCCTAGTCAATCTTTTCGTGCATCGCTAAAAACAAAGGCAAAAAATTCATTTCCTGTAAACAAAATGTCAAAATCAACCAAGTGTTCGTTACATGAGGGTATTTCAGCATTTTTATCATTTGGATCTGCTCCCAATTTTTGATGGGTGAAAATCGTGAAAACCTCACATTCTTGATTAGAGCTGCCATTGTGGGAGTATTGGTATCACCCATCAGAATTACAGATTGTATCATTATACCGTATACCCATATTTTGGGGGCTATTCCAAAAAGCGCCGTTATATCAAGGTAGATCCCCAAGTCTTTGTGACGAACTCTTCCAACTTAGGCCATTGCAGAAGTCTTCTCGCGTATCGATCACAAGTTTGACCTCATGCCACTGGGCAAAATCGAACGTCCTGAGGGAAGAGGGTTGATGGGTCGATCAATGCCAGACATGGAGATGGAGAAATTGCATGAAATTGCCTTATTTCTAAGGCATTTGTTTGGCAGAGTCAGTGCAGAATCTGAGGTACGCCATGCTTGAATTTTCTATGTTGCGACCAAAACACCGTTGATTTGAAATATAGTGGTTACTTCACCAACGGTTATATAGAGTTATAGAGGATTTCAAACAAACTCTGCACATTTGGACCAATGAAAGCGGACATGAAACTAACCAAGACTAAAGGTTGATCCACGGAAAAAAAACTACGGGAGAGCTGCGAAATAGATGGCTAAAAAAGCAGATAGAAGCAAGATGGTGTTATTTGAGATCCAAAATGGAGGCTCTTTGATCCGACGATCAAGTAAGGGATTTTGGGGAGGGATTTGTAGCCAGCTAAATATGTGGGCATGGGCGAACGCCATATTTGTTCGCAAAACCCTCAGGCGGGTAAGCGCAGCGGAAGCCACTTTATACCACATTGCTTTGGAGATCTTTGGAGTATAGTATATAGCCAGTCACCCACTGGCGAGTGATTTGTTGAAACCGCGGCACCCCAGATTATATATATATGTTGAAACCCCAGATTTGTTGAAACCGCTTCGCCCAGTTGTTGCAGCGTAGAGGTTTCCCATTCCAAAACAAATGTTGATGCAACTTCACAAAATTCCTTTGGGAAAAACAGCAAAGGTACTAGGGAATATTAAACTCCCACCCCCGTTAAACCTTAAATTCCTATGGGAAAAAAACAAGGGTACTAGGTAATATTAAACTCCCACCCCCGTTAAACTTTACATTCAATTGGGAAGATCAACAAAGGTACTAGGGAATATTAACTCCCATCCCCGTTAAACCTTAAATTCCTATGGGAAAAACAACAAAGGTACTAGGGAATATTAAACTCCCACCCCCGTTAAACCTTAAATTCCTATAGGAAAAACAACAAAGGTACCAGGGAATATTAAACTCTCACCCCCGTTAAGCTTTACATTCAATTGGGAAGATCATCGAAGGTACTAGGTAATATTAAACTCCCACCCCCGTTAAACTTTACATTCATTGAAGATCTTCAACATGGGATTAATTCTCCCACCCCCGTCAAACTTCTACATTCATTGAAGATCTTCAATAATTAAGGGTTTACTTCTCCCACCTCCGTTAAACTTCTACATTCATTGAAGATCTTCAATAAGGGTTAATTCTCCCACCCCCGTTAAACTTCTACATTCATTGAAGATCTTCAATAAGGGTTTAATTCTCCCACCCCCGTTAAACTTCTACATTCATTGAAGATCTTCACTAAGGGTTTAATTCTGATGATGATGTTGATGTTGATGATGATGATGATGCGTCGCCTGTTGTCATTGCGGGTCCGGGCAAAGCCCAGGCATTTGCCGTATACATGTATACATGTATACATGTATACATGTATACATATATACATATATACATATATACATATATACATATATACATATATACATATATACATATAAAGGGTAGAGGCCTGAGGTTCCCCGGAAGGCAATTGAAGTTCATTGTTGTCAACTTTGAAACATGTCATTTTTCACAGTGTTTTACAGTGTTTTACAGTGTTTTGTGTTCTTCCCATAATTTGAGAGCAGAAGGAATCAGTTCAACATGCGGACAACATATCTGGGATATGTTGTCCGCTGTTTGATTGTTTTTTAAAATCTTTTTAAAGTTCTTCATTGTATGATATTTTGTAGATTCCATAGGAATTGAGTGTTTTTTTTGGAATTTCAGGTTTCTTTTCATTGACATAAAAATGTCACGATTCCCCAGAGAACCATGGGCGAAATGCATGAGGTTTTTTTCTCTTCACATCCACAAAGCCGTTTTTAAAGCATTTGTATCTAACAACATCTTCAACGTAACAGCCAACATCTTCAACGTAACAACATCTTCAGCGTAACAGCATCTTCAACGTAACAACATCTTCAACGCAACAACATCTGCAATGTAACAACATCTTCTGATGACGCAATGCAATGAAGGTTAACATCCCCCCCACCACCCCCCCACCCCCCCATCTGTAAAGAGCAACGAAGATTAACGTAACAAGACAAGATCTTCTCATGACGCAATGCAATGAACATTCACATCCCCCCCACCCCATCCCCCACCTGTTTGCAACAACGAAGATTAACGTAACAACATCTGCTGATGACGCAATGCAATGACTGTTAACATCCCCCCCATCTGTATGCTGAAAGCTAGCAGAGAGAGACTCAAGGTTCCTCCGTGCTCCGGGGAACCTCAAGCCTCTCCCCTATTTATATATATACACATACACATATATACATATACATTTACATATATATATATACACATATATACATATATACACATACATATATATATATATGTATGTATATATCTTTACCTCGACCGAACCTATATATATATATATATATAAATATACACATATATATGCATACATATATATATACATACACATACATATATATGTATATATAAAATATATATCTTTACCCCGACCGAACCTATATATATATATATATACATATACATATATATATATTTACACATACATATGTATATATATATATATCTTTACCTCGACCGAACCTATATATATATACATACATACATGCATATACATATGCAAATAGTTATACGTGCGAGGTATTCGAAACGTGCCTTTGTCCACCACTACGTGGGCGAGGGCATGGAGGAGGGCGAGTTCTCTGAGGCACGTGAGGACTTGGCAGCCCTGGAGATGCTCGGCGTGGCGTACGATAATCCCGCTTAGTAACCTCTTAACAACCCTGGCTAGGAGGTCCCCTAATTAACTGGCCTATCCCGTTTACAACTTGGTTGTAGCCCCACTTATTTGATCACTCGCGATTCGTGGGGTGATCTTCCAAGCAATTCTTCTACTGCCATTTTGGGAGGCTGCTTGTGTGTTTGTGGTTGTGCCTGTGGTTGTTGAAGAGGGGAATGATGATGACCATGATGGTGGTGGTCATAATGACGACAGCAATTTTGGTGGTGACGACTATGAGATAGCACTGAACATTTGTCAGGAGAAACGGGCAAAACATGTGGGTAAAAGATTGGTAAACGTATGTGAATGTAACAGACATGAAACGAGATATGGATGATCCAGGCTATCGCCTTCTCTTTTTGTGCCATGTTCATCCGTCTTTTCACCGGACAAGGAAAGACTACGAGGAAGTGGGCATTGAAACGGCCGAGGCGCAAAGTCACCACACAGACAGTGTTGCATTTTTTGTGCCTTTCGAGTCGTTTTTTTGAAGCCATGGTGACTCGCCGGTATTCGCAGTTTGTTTGCTGTTTCAGTTTGGTTTCAAATTTCTCTTTTGTTCATCATCATGCAATTTAGAGAGGATTGGTTTCCCAGTCGGGTTGTGTGAGGGAAGCATGTTGGAAACCATTGGTTAAACCATTGGTTTCCCGGTCAATTTGGATGACAACTGGTGACGCCTTCTTGCTGAGGGTGAAGGTGAGGAAGAAGGCTACGGAGACTTGGCATCCTTTAATTTCCCCCATGTTTGCTTGGTGTGACATGGTCCAAATGGACTATAACTGCAAGTGTTGCATGCGAAACAAATACTATTACTATTATTATGTCCTGTTAAAATCTGCTTATTTTTGTTGATTGTGCAAGTCCAATGATAAACAACAATTGATTTCACAATTTTGCCAGTCTACCATTTGCTTTGTAAGGTGAACATCTAAAGAAAACATTTTTCCCCACCGGGTCATTAGATTTTATCAGAGTTGCTTTCTCCTCCTTCTTCTTCTCCTCCTCTGGCAATTGCGAGTTCCGGATTTCAGTGGGCACTGCTGGACCTCAACCGCGAGCTCCAGATGTCAATGGGCACTGCCAGACCTCAACCGCGAGCTCCAGGTGTCAGTGGGCACTGCCGGATCTCAGCCAGACGGCCAGAGAGAATGTCAGATAGAATGCCAGAAGGAATGTCAGAATAGATGCCAAATACAATGCCAGAAAGAATGTCAGAATGAATGCCTGAAAAGATTTGACAAGATGCCAGATAGAATGTCAGAATAGGTGTGAGATAGAATGCCAGAAAGAGTGTCAGAATATATGCCAGAAAGTATGCCAGAATAGATACCAGATAGAATGTCGGATAGAATGTCAAAGTATGTGCCAGAAAGAATGTCAGATAGAATGTCAGAAAAATGACATATATATATACATATATATACATATATATATATATACACACTATATATATATATATAGATATAGATATAGATATAGATATCGTCAGAACTATGTCTTTCAGGCTGGGGATCACTCGAAGAAAGCATTTTTTTGCCACAAAACCGCTGCATTTTTTGTTATTTTGGTTGTATTGGTTGTATCTTTGACCATGGACGGCCAAGGAGATGAATTCTGAGTCTCACCACTGGGCACGACATCCAGGGATCCCAAACTCAGGGAAGGCCAGGCGGATTGGCACAGCTGAGCGAGGTGAGAACCCAAAAAGACGCGACGAGACGTTGGGATGTTCCACGCTGTTGTGATGTGAAGGGGTCCGGCATTGCTGGAAGCCAGCAAGTTTGGATGATCACTATGATCGCCCTAATTCACATGATTCATACTGATCCGATCAACATCGTTGTGTGTCTTTATATTTAATGTTATTAAACAACCATTACTGGTGAAACATTGTCAATTGTAAGAACATCGATGTGGATGTGTCTGATAATGGTGTATAGCCCCAAATGGCCAGGAAGCCGATTTTGCAAACGATGTGGTCTTTGGGGCCATCCTAACATTCTCATGTGCAAATGATTAGGGTAAGTTGTTTAAAAATTTGATCATGTAGAACGTAAGGAATTGATATAGGTTCAATTTGTTTTTACACAAATACCCTCCGGTAATCAAACGTGGCAATGGAAAACCCCTCATTTCTAGATGATTTCCCCAGCTATATACTTTCATTTTTGGGTGGATTTTCCATTGGTAATGCGTTGTTTACCTAAAGACGGGGCGATCGACCCAGAACTGCTGGTTTGCAGGAACTTGAAGCGTGCCGTGGGGCGATCGCCGAACAGTTCGGCGCGGGAGCCCAACATTTCTGTGGTTTATTGTGTTGTTATTTTTTGAAAGTATCAGACATTGTATATATATATATACATCATTGATTTTATTCTCAATAGAACATGTTTTATATGATAACATGATATATGTACTCGTACTTGTGCATGTTTATGCCTACGGACCGAAAACCGTGCTCGTAAAACGCACGTTTTTGGAAATGCCCGGTCGGAGGTTATGTTGGGGTGGGGTGGGGTGGGGTGGGCATGTTAACGTCCTTTATAGTGCGTACATTAGATGTTGCTACGTTGCAGAGATCTCTGTTTTTGTTGCTACGTTACATGCTGCTACGCTGCAGAGATCTCTGGTTTCCTTGCTACGTTACATGTTGCTACGCTGCAGAGATCTCTGGTTTCCTTGCTACGTTACATGTTGCTACGCTGCAGAGATCTCTGGTATCCTTGCTACGTTACCTTTGTTGCTACGCTGCAGAGATCTCTGGTATCCTTGCTACGTCACATGTTGCTACGCTGCAGAGATCTCTGGTATCCTTGCTACGTTACATGTTGCTACGCTGCAGAGATCTCTGGTTTCGTTGCGATGTCACATGTTGCTACGCTGCAGAGATCTCTGGTTTCCTTGCTACGTTACATGTTGCTACGCTGCAGAGATGTCTAGTTTCCTTGCTACGTTACATGTCGCTACACCATTTTTTTTGTAAAACTCTATTTTCACGAGCACGGTTTCCGGCCCGGCGGGATGTTTATGTGCTTGCTTGAATCTGCGGTGTGTATTTGTGTCTGTATATGATTGTATTGCAATAGTTGTATATGTATATATATATACATACATATATACATGTACGTGTACATGTACGTATACATATACATAGACCTATACATACACATATACACATATACACACATACACATATACGCATATACACACATACACATACATATGCATACACATATACATATACATATACATTATGCATCATACATTATACATTATACATTATACATTCTACATTATACATCATACATATACAGTCTACATTATACATTATACATATACATCATTACCAACGACAAGGAAAACAACAAAAAAAACCAACAAAAAAAAACAACAAAAAGAACAACACAAACAAGAACAAAAACAGGAACAAAAGCAACAACAACAACAACAACAACACTCTATCCAAACTTTGTGTTGCAAATCAAGACATATCATCACAACACCTGCATCAAACATTTTGAAACGTCATTAAACATGACTAGACCCATCACAGATCATAAAAATCATCACACATCATAAAAATCACCAAACATCATCTAGCATCATCAAACATCATCAAACATCAACAAATATTCATCAAACATCAACAAATAAAAATCAGCACAGATATGCACAGATCTCATAGATTTTTCGACTCGTCACGATTTGTCCCTGCACTGTGCCGCGGCAGGTTGTGGTCTTCGTGGTGGGTGGCCTCACGTTGCCCGAAGTCCGCGCGGCACATGAGGCGCACGGCTGGAACACGTCCATCGATTCGCAGTTCGAATGCGTTTTAAGGGATAATATTGAATTATGGAAAATATATGAGAATATGTGTCTAAAGATAAGGTATATATATATATACCCCTAAAGGCTGCCATTGATATACATAATATCGTGTAATGGGGTAAGGATGAGATGGGAAGACTCCAGCAATGCCATGTTCAATAGGAACATAAATTTTGAAATAGGTTATTTTGCAGTTCCCGGTTTGTTTACAAGAGGGTCAGCAAGAAGAGTACCTATGGTAAACTATATATACTTATGGAAAATGACCCATGTATAGTTGATTTACCAATTTGGTTGATGTACTCGCACATTTCGCATATTTCGAAGACCACAAAAAACTGGGTTTGAAATGTCGATCCATGACATGGCCAACAGGTGGACCCCCAAGATTAATTATGGGAAAAAACGGGTTATTGTAATTTGCTCCAACACCCCCATTACGCAGGAAAAAACAATTTCGGAAAATCATGGGCCCTCCAAGAATTATTTAAAAAAGGTTCAGATCACATCCGGGAAATTTTGAACCCTTACAAGGAAAACCTAATTATGCAACGAATCGGAGACAGGCGACCTCCTGTCTAAGTTAGAATTTTTCCATACTTCTGTCGATCACCAAAATGGGGAAATAAAGGATATATATATATATACATACAATATATATGTATATATTATATATATACAAAATATACAATATATATAAACAATATATATATATACAATATATATATTTACAATATATACAATATATATATATACAATATATATATATACAATATATATATACAATATATACAATATATATAAATATATATATATATTTACAATATATACAATATATACAATATATATATGCAATATATATAAGATATATATATACAGATATATATTTACAATATATATATATACAATATATATATAATACATATATACAATATATATATATATATATATACAATATATATACAATATATATATATACAATATATATATATACAATATATACATATATACAATATATATATATATACAATATATATATACAGTATATATATACAATACATATATATATATACAATATATATATATATACAATATATATATAATACATATATACAATATATATATACAATATATATATACAATATATATATATATACAATATATATATACAATATGTATATATACAATATATATATATACAATATATATATATTATTGTAGTTGGAATAATCCCGGATATACATACAAATATGGACATAGATCGAATTCCGTCCGCTTAAGAAGATGTATAGTTTCGCAATTGCGGGTGCAACCAACAAGATGGTAGATTGGGTGCCTGTGACAATGGGCGGGTTACCCGGACATGGCAATTCTAATAGGGAAAAGTGAATAGGATGATAAATAAGTGAATTTGAGGCATTTGAGGGTACCATATTTTCAGACAAACTTAGTTGCCATGGTTTTGAAACGTCAACTGCAGGGGGCTAGCTATGAGAAGAGAAGCTTTACCAGCAATACATCGGGCATTGATGGGGTTAAACGAATAAACTTGGTTAAGCAATGTTTTTTGTTTTATCCAATAGACATGGAGTATTAATTGGGATTAAACGGCAATGAACTTGTTATATGTATAAAATATATATATATATACACGTATACATACACAGTAAATACACATATATGGGGAATATGCCTTTGTCAAAAAATATGGGGAAAAACGAGGAAGACAGCCAACCATATCTGGTTGTATCGCGGACATAATACACAACCGACAATCTGATTTGGGTTTGTCCAAAAGTCGGGGATCTCAGACATGTTTTCGTTCAACATTGGTCAACCAGAATCCAGTGAATTTACTCATTAAAAAATGGCGAGAACACCTTTATACATACAATATATATGTATATATATATATATGTATGTACATATATATATGTAAATGTATATATATATGTATGTATATAAATATATATATATATGAATTATAAATATATATGTATATATATGTATATATATATGTCTACATATATATAAATATGTGTGCATATATATACATATGTCTATATGTATATATATATAAATATGTCTATATGTATATATATGTATATACATATATGTATATATATATGTGTGTGTAAATGTTTATATATATATATATGTATATATAGATATATGTATATATATATATATGTATATATGTTTATATATGTGTATATATATGTTTATATATGTATATATATATGTATATATATATATGTATATATATGTATATATATATATGTATATTTGTATATATATATGTATATATATGTACATATGCATATACATATACATATATACATACATATATATATATATATGTATATGTATATGTATATGCATTTGTATATATATGTATGTATATATATATATGTGTATATATATATATGTATATGTACACACATGTATATATTTGTCTTGAACACCTTGTTTCCCAAAGAACTGGCCAAAAATTGGGTTAACCACTTGGCTGTTTGGGGATCCACATGGGTTTCTTAGGTGACAACAGCGCTTCCTGGAGTCCAAGCCTATGTAGGTGGGACCCACTGGCGACATCTGACATGGAACTTGTTGTCTTGGAATTTGGAGGGTTGAACTTGCTACAGTTCAATAGGTAAATCATCATGAATCCTCTATGTGCCATTTTGGATAGCTATGTCATATAAGCAGAGGATATGTCCGATATTTCTTTTGATTCCACTTCAGTACCAGGTTTCCAGCCAGGAAGACTACGGTCATGGAACCAGGCCCATTGAACCAGTCACAAAGGGAGACCAGAAGGACGGCTAAAGATCGAAACCCTGGTATGCCCGTGAACATCAATATACATGGGTCTGTCTGAAAATGGGGTATTCCCCAATTGTAGCCATTCAACATCATTCAATGGGGAAAATGAATGAACATTATTATGATCAAACATAAATAAAAATTGAGGGGACCCTATTTTTAGACCCCAGATTTATATTTCAATGGATGTTCATGCCGGAGATGACCCTCCGAGGGTACAGGATTCAGTTTTAGCATGTTTTAGCTACTGTCAAGAAACAGGTTGGTCTCAAAGAGGGTTGGATCCTCCCCAAACTAATCCCACGTGACTTCCGAAATCCGAAACACCAAGTCACATGTTTCACTGGATTGCTTTAAGGACAATTTTTTAAAGGAACCCCCTATAGATGGGGAAAACCGACTGGTAGATTTTCCCAACAAAACCAATTCATAAATCGCCAGGTGGAAGCTGCTTGTTGACGCCTGGCTCTTTCATTGAGCTTTGGGAGTCCTTCTGATGAAAAAAAATGCTTGGGAGTCCTTGGCACTTGGGAAATGCGCCACGGAAATGTGGGACGAACAAAAAGGCTAAACTGGCTATTGGAAAGTTGGTACTCAGACTTGATTCCAATCAATTTTATCTTTCATTGGACGTGGGTACTTTCAGTCATGCCTCATGAGCCAGTCGCTGTGATCAGTACAGTTCCGCGATTTTGTTGTGAAGGGATGCTCATAAGTAGATACAAAGGCAGATTAATGCAAACTTGGGTTTCAAGATCATAGAAATGTATGGAAATATCTGATCATTGAAATATCAGTTCCCAATCCTAAAGGGGCTCAGGTATCCCTCGTCCTGATCTTCTTGGATGTGTTGATTGAACATCATCATGCGGATGCAGCTGTTTGCTTGAAAAAGAAGCACCAAATTCAAACCGAAAACCGAAGAGGCCACCACAGCTATAGGAAGTTGGGTACTGCCAGGACCTCCATCATTAACCATGATTAGCCATTGATTAACCATGGATTACCATCATTACTAACCATAGATTAAAGGACTTCTCAGACCAACATCAGAACGGAATCACTGGGAGTCGTCCCGCCTCGGAAGTGGTGCCGTCGCCATGCTGCAATGTGTCTCAGCCGTGTCGGACAGGCGGGAGAAAAGGGCACGACCAAAAACGGCGACGTCGGGGCTGTAGGAATCACCAAGTGGCCAAGCTTTTTCAGATGGGTGAAGAAAAAGCCAAATTCAGCACCATTTTTTGATAGCCCCATTATACCCCTATGAGTTTGTGCACCAAGCAGTTGACGGGAATCTCAGCAAATTTTTCTAACAACTAATGTCTGGGATAAGACTCCAACTTGTTTCTTTCCATTCAGTCTGGATCAAGCCCATGATACCCCCATATATCTTTGCCGAATCAAACATGGATCATACCCCCATAGATGCTGCAGGTTCAGCAGCCTCTCTGGCACACAGGCGTGACGGAGCAGTCAGATTGAAGCTGTGCCATGGTCCAGTTAGGTTGTTTTCCCACAAAGGGGGATAGTAATCCATTCATAATGATAATGATTTATATATCCATGATAATGTATGAGGATTCCGACTATGGGATTGGGATGGATGACCACAAACCACATACAATCTTTCGACCATGGCACACATGAAGATGATGGAACATGGGTTTGATCACCAATGAATGGGAGGGGTTCACCAGCAGCAAACATCTCGGGACTCCCAATTTGGTTCCAGATAACACCGGGAATCGCAGGTGGTGGGCGGGAGCGATTCGGAGGGATGGGAAGCCAAGGACAGTTGGAGCTACAATAGACTTTTCCAAGCCACATGAGACTTTCATACATCATGTCATGATCCCACCTTTCTGACCCACCAGTTCCATCCAGTTCCATCATTAGCATCCCTGTGCTCGTCTCGCCAGAGCTATCAGTTCCTCATGTTGGGCTTGGAGGGAGCGGGCAAGACCACTTTCTTGTACAAGTTGAAGATCAACGGGTGCCCCGGGGCACCGGGGCCAGGATTTTTGGGCGATCCGGAAATCTGGAAGTCCGAAATTGAACAAGAGAGCACTATACATTTGCCTAGAGTCATAGGTGGGAGACTGATAGACATTTATATGATATGATAGAATATCTATATATAATATTATATAATTAGAACTTATAATAACCCATATAGACATGTATAGACATACAAAACTATGATTTGTTTGTTGACAGCGATGGGAAGCAAGAAACAATATGTTGCGCATTTTGTTACGCTAGACTAGCCGCTAGACCCGATGACCATAAAATCGCATAAAATCTTTCGACCCCAGGACCTTCCTTTCCCAAACATTTGGGACCCCAATCATCTACCAATTCCGGGTCGATCTTGGCAGATTGAAAGATATTTGTGTCTGAAAATAGGTTCCCTACAAAAAATATATTGTTGATCAATGTTGTTCAACCGTCATTTTCCCGCCACAGTGTTGGGCTATCTGCAGCTGTCAACGCTGGGAGTCAGGTACAAAAAGGCGGACGTCCAAGCGGACATGGTCTACCTCAAAGAGGTGAAACAAGACCCCGGGTGCCCCGAAAATGTTGCGTCTGGGGTGCATGGGCTTGGATATTTTTGGGCCACGGTTGGAAGTGAAGTTTCTTTTTCTTTTTCTTTTTTCAAACATGTTTTTTGTTGTGGGGTAGGGGTAATGGATGAAACATGAATGATGTAGACATGCTTTGCAGATGATAATCTTATATGATATCATGATCATACCTATCTACGTCATAAGATGTGTGCATGATAATTATATGACATGTGTGACATTTTATGACGATGTGCCAACACACATGATTGGAGATGTGCTTAGATATGATTTGATTATGAATAACGATCAATGATTCATCAGTGATGACTTAGCAATGATGTAGGTCGTATTTCTTTTGACATTCCAAGAAACCTCTTGAGCACTTAAGGTTTCACTTTGGCTGCTGCTGGTGCCCTAAAAGAGGGATCTGATTGAAATTTGGGAAGAAGCCTATGGCTTTCCATGTTCTTCCTGATCTTTTTCCACAAAAAGGAATGGGACCACTTTGAACTCTGAGGCACTTATTTCAGTTTCAGCCGCATGACATGTTGGCCGACATGTTCCATTTGACGTCATGGTGCCCCAGGTACCATTTCGAGGAACTGAGCAGTCCAACCATTGGGCCACGGGGACCGGGATGATGATGCATATCGTAGATGTGACGGCAGGATTCTTAGGGGCTTTTCGCCAGAAATAATCACATGACGTTAGCCAATAAATCGTGAAGGACAATTGGGACACGCTCACCCTCCAATTTACCAAACATGGCTGCCTCGTTTGTGGATGTATTAGCCATGGCAATCGGCATGATTTGATCTTGGTTGGGCCGCTGGGAATATATATTTGGATACAGGTCAAACCACTTCAAAACACCAGTGTCCTGATAAACATGCCGAAGACGTCTTAAAACATGAACATACTTCAGAGTAATGTTGGTAAACGGAATGCCATAAACCTATCCTTTGATGGTAATTTTTGACCACCCATTTGTGGCCATCTTGGTATATGTTGGTATACCATCTGGTTATTTAACATAGCCATGGAAAATCACCATTTTTAATAGGTAAACCATCTATAAATGGGCCATCCATACTATATACCATGGCTATGTTAGTCATTACCAGAGGGTACATTGATATCTTGGGTAGATTACCATAGCACTATTTAAATAAATGGGGCATTAATATGGGGCATTAAATAGTGCTGTGCTATACTATTATGGGTCACCCCCGGGAGGCAATACAGCATCTGGGAAGTTCCTGGGAACGACGTGATGCGCCCCTTGTGGCCCATGTTCTACAGGCGCATCCGTGGCTGTGGGAGCGCTGTGGCCCTTTGAATGGAACCCTTGGTGGGGTAAGTGACAAATGGTAGGCTTTCATGGCTTAGTTTAGGGAAATAGTAGATTTTCATGGCTTAGAAACTCTGGCAAAATGTTAAGCATACCCAGCTCTTTGAGCCATTTGGAAGTTTCCTAAAATGGGGATACCCCCAAATCATCCATTTTTCCATAGGATTTTCCAGGATTTTCCATGAAATAAACCATCCAGCTATTGGGGTACAGCCATGACTTAGGAAACTCTCCAGCCATGGACGTCAAGCAACCGAGGTATCTGCACATTCATGGGGTCTTCTTTGTGGTGGCTGGCTCAGATGGACAGTTCATTTATGGAGGGTTAATATGATATTAACCTCTGAGAAACATACAAAAAACTATGGAAAATCACACTGTTTAATGGGTAAACCATCTATTTACACAGGTGATTTTCAATAGCTATGTTGAATTACCAGAGGGTAACCACTAATAACATGGGGGGTTCCAAAAATGGGGGATATCGCAAAATGGATGGTCTATCATGGAACATCCCATTAAGATGGATGATTTAGGGGTACCTCCATTTTAGGAAACCTCCATATGATATTAACCACTATTCATTAACGCCTGTACAAAAAATATTACGATTATATGGGCTACTTAGATATGTTCATCATCATGAACTGTTCAGAAGTACAAAGTTGGTATCTAAATTAACCAGTACAAAGTTGAACATCAATGGATTTAACCACTGAATGGGATGGGATCATCCCCAGGGCTTAATCCTTTCAGCTGGGGATGATCCCCAATGGCTGCCATGGATGTGTTTAACTTGGATCCTGAAGACTGACTTGGAGACCTTGAAAAGATATTTCATGATATTTCCAGTACCTTCAGATATGATGGCACCAGATTTCGTTCCCGAAGGTGAAACTGATCAGGGATGACATGATGTCCTGGTACGAATTATCAGCATTTCTGGTGGATAGATTTAAATGCATTGTACTGAGCAATACAATAATTGTCAAGGACGTATTCCAAAGTCCCATATCATGTTCACCAAGTTAACACATGTTTTTACATGTGTACGATGAAATACTTGCACACATCAGCACATGTTCAATAAAGGGGCTGTTTGCTTAGAACATCGAAAGATCCTCTTACACGATTTCCATAGACTTTCCTATCGATCTTCGCAGTTGTAGGTACTCATCAAGCATCCGGAACAGTGACAGCCGCTGCATCCCCCATAATACTATCTAGCTTGAAATTGAAGTAGATGGATTTTCAATTTTAGTGATTTCCAACCATGAAGTACGCACCTTTGTATATCTATCCGAATCCAACCATATTTTGTATGATGATCACCAATGACGTTTACACATCTGGGATGGGCGGGCTGAAACCACCAACAGGCCGGTTTTTATCCATAGTATTTTGGCAAGCAGTGGGTCATATAATGTGGATTAGGTGGTCCCAGAATTTTTAATGACTACCACACACACATATACGTATATATACATATGCATGTATACAACACACAACATATAATCTATAAAGTATATACAATATATATATACATACACATATATATATATACATAAATATGTATATATATACATATATATATACATAAATATATATATATATATACATACAATAATGTGTAACATATGGTAATGTATATAAATATAATCATTATATATAATTATATATATATATGGCCAAACCTGTCGCCCCCTTGAAAGCCTGGCTGGGCGTCCAAGGTGGACGCCTTCTCCCCCACGTGCTTTGACTTGGATCAGGCGTGAAGATTTCGTCTTTCGCCATCAAAATACCCAGATCACTAGGGCTTTAACCAGCAAAGCAATGGTGATTTCAGATGATTTAAAGCATTTTAATAGGAGATTTTCGCCAAATTTTACCGTTGTGATGGTGATTTCACCAAACTTGATCATTTGACCAAAGGATTTTGATGCGGGTTGCTAAGAAAACATGGTGGAACGTGAGCTTATAGCAACCAAAGCTGCTGGTTGCTTCCCCCTGTGAGACTTGTAGATTGACTGTACAAGTAGGTGGTATTGAAGAATGAAAATTGGAAACCCTCCCGACCTGCGATTACCCATGGCCTTTGTATATAGAAACCACGAAGTTATCAATAGGATGTCTAAAGATGTGGCTAGAGTTTCGAGATCGACAAGACAGGGAATTGGGCTAACAAACTGAAGGTATGAAATAACCATGTTGAGCCTACAAGAGCCCGGATGTAACTTGTCGTACTGTAGATGTATAGATATCATCTATGTGTTTGGGGATGTGCCGTTGTCAGCAACGCTCGTGGGTCAACAGCTTGATCGGTTCCACCAAATCGATGACGAACTGGTGACACCACTGTGGGTTTTCCAATGTGTTGCCTCTAAAAAGGCGTACGCAGCCCTGTATTCGCGAACAAATCGATCTGGTCTAGAGCAAGAAACAGATCATTTGGATTCATTTGGGCCTTCAGTTTTTCACTGGTTCGCATTCGCCATTGGTGCTTTTCGTATCAGGAGAATTTTCGAAAGCTGAGCAAAGCGCGGAGCCTGAGGAGAATGCTTTGAGAAGAGCATGTGCTTCAGATCACTGTTGTTTGAGCAGGACATTACTGTACATCGCATCAATCGATTCTTCGCACTCATTCTTGCCGGTACAGCTCAACCAAAAAGCTGCCATCACTCTGATCAAAGGATGCACCATGACCTGGTCTGATCTTGGGATCCTCGATTTTGCTGGATATATGCCCCCCCAAAAAATTGATGCAAAGCGCATCCATTCGTTGGCCAACGCCTCAGGTTTTTATACATTCACCTGCTTTTTGTTGTGTATCTCCACTGATGTATGACCTATGTATCGATTCCCCTCCGCTTGATGCTTCAAAGTATGTAGAACACATTTTGATGTACAAAGATTCCGCCTGGAATGCTGATCCCAAGTGACAGTATTGGGGATGCGTCGACGCATATTTCAGGCCCGGGATGCGTTGTTCCACCTGCTTCATGAGGACTGGGTAAGGGAAGCTGGGATGTTCCACTTGTTCATAGCAACTGGTGAGTAACTGCCATAATAGCCTGTATAGCTAGTTAAAAGGCATCCCAATTGGCCCATCCAAGTTGAAATCACACATTTGTTCCTTTTATAAGGGGTATGAAAGTTATGACATCTTCAGTTTTCAATAGTTTTCAGCTCTGTCAATTACCCTCCGGGAATCAAAGGTGGCTTGCTGGCAATTCCCGATTTTTGTCGATCATTTTCACATGTGTCTACCCATTTAGTTCGGGTATTTCTTCTCCATTATTTATCCACTATTGTTGGTTAAACCCACCATTATTCATCATTTACAGATGATTGGTCCTGATGTTCCATTATTGTTGTCATATGTTATCATCGTTGTATACTCATCAAACATATCCCATGCACTTTTTCTGGTTCGACACCCCTTCCGGGTCTCCTCCAAGCGTCTTCCCACCAGGACGAACTCCGCGTGTCGGTCTTCTTTTTAGTCGGGGATCCTTAAATTCTGCCGGGTTGGCGGCTCGGGGAGTGGCATCACGACTCAATGGCCATGAAATATGAAATCATAGGGAAGCTATGGTTAAAGTGAAGCAGTTTTCGGCGAGTAAGATAGCGGAAAGTTGAGTCCCTTAAATGGGAAATGTATGGAAATGTAGTTGATGAATCTAGGTGATCATCTAATTGATGTAGCAATTGTTAGCATGGTAGATTGCTATAAAAGCTCATCAGCTATAGAGGAAAGTATGAACAACCGCTTTGCCCCCCTGCCATGGCAGGGTTTGTGGTGGAGGTCTCCAGCTGCAGGTTTTAAATGTGAACCGCAGCACAGAGGATGCTGCAAAAAAGGAGGAAGAGGACAGATGCTGAACAACTGACAGAAGTCTTCCTTGGGATTGAAGTCTAATTGCCATTCTTGTACTGTAGATGTACCATAGGGATTTATCACAATGATTCTGAGGATCGAAGCTTTTCGAAGCCATTCGGAAGACATGTCCACAGACCTGCTTGCCATCCACTGGTGGGGATTCCGCCTTCAACCCCCATGAACCTTCAGAACCTCTGGATCAGAGGAGCAGGAGGAAAATGCTCTCTTCGAGGTGACGGCGTGGTGACGTTTTCTGAACGGGCAATGTGGAACCCTAAAAAAGCCGGGAGAATCCCTGAAGTTAGATGATGTCAGATGCTTTGAAACTGGGACCGTAACTGGGAGATAAGATGAGGCCTTGCACTTAACGTATATATTATATAATATATATATATCATAATGATAGTATATGCACGGACTGTTTAAAACTGGGGTTCACTGGGGTCTTTTACTTTGAGATACGTCGGAACATCACAATGCGTGTCACCACGAAAACTTCAGAGACGATGCCGGTGCCGGTGCCTCACCGAAGCCGCGAATGGGATAATCCAGTGGTTTGTCATCAAGTTTCCCATTGTTCAATGGCACCAAATGAATCCATTTATTGATCTAGCCTCTGGTTATGACTAACAGTTCGCCATGGTATAGATGGCCTATAGAAATAGATGGTTTACCCATTATAAATTGTGGATCTTTCCATGGCAAACTGTGAATGTCATAACCAGGTTGGGTAAATGGCCAGTGATCAATTTGCAGCGGGGTGGAGCCCTGGTGTCCGGCTGTCCAGCCATGCTCAGATGCTGGGCGTTCCTGAGATCGAACAGATGGTCCACATGAAAACCCGCTTCCGCAAGGTGACGCGAATGGGAAGCGGTCCACTGGCACCTGAAAGAATGGTTGAACCCGGTTGAACTGTGGTTTTCACACCGGTGAACGAAACATTTTTTTTGATGGCGAGAAAAAAGACCCAAACGCAGGTAAACCATCATAAACCATTGAACAGTTGACACTTTAGCAACAAGAAATGGTTGCATGGTCGGATATAATACACATATATATATATATATATATATGGGATATTACCACTTAATGGGGACAATCTGCGTGAATTTTTGACGCCTTCACGTCGCGACGTCACGTCGGAATCATGGGAATTTGGATAGGGCAACTATTCCCAAAATGGCCTATTAATATCCTAACTGTGCAGGATTTCTCCATCAAAATCCTATAATATTCCTATAATATTCCTACTACATAGCCATATTAATTCCCCGTATGTAACCATTTGTTGGTTAGTTATACCCTCATTCTACTCCCATCACCAACTCAAAGAAGACGATTGAGCAGTGTCAAAAAGCCAGTGGTTTGTTCTTAACATTGGAGTTCTTCGCTGTTGAAAAGGATGAACCGATCCATTATTGGAAGAGCTATAAGAGAACCGGTAGAACGTAGTAGAACCAGTTCGCAACCAGGTTTTTGATTGACGCAAAAAGTTATATGGTGCCTGCCTTGGGCGTAAGCAGGGTAGCAAATTCTTGGCAAACATAGCCAAATTGATCCACTAGGATTTAGTGGTAAATGTCACCTCTTTTTTTGTATTTATTCAATATGTTGATTTGGTTTACACAAAATATACCAATAAACATAGAAGAGGTGTATTATATACCTCACATATATATATATAAAGTGTAATATATTGCATATATATATAATTATATATATGTCACTCAATATAGTGGGTGATACACATATTTTACCAATCACAGTCGCTCCCTCCGTCCCTTGGAGGTGGTCTTGAATTGTGCCAACATCAGCCGAAAAGATAGCAAGGGATCCCAGCAGGATCCCAGTCGAGTACAGGGTAGCAGAGTGGCAGGATCCATAATACAGTAGTAGATTCAGTGGATAATATAGATACTAATTACAACAAACACACACATGTATATATATATATATATATATATTCATATAAATATAATATACATTATAGATAGATAGATAGATCGATAGATAGATAGATAGATAGGAATAGATAGATAGGATTAGATAGATAGGATTAGATGGATAGGATTAGATAGACAGGATTAGATAGATAGGATTAAACAGATAGGATAAGATAGATAGATTAGATAGATAGGATTAGATAGATAGGATTAGATAGATAGGATTAGATAGATAGGATTAGATAGATAGGATTAGACAGATAGGATAAGATAGATAGATTAGATAGATAGGATTAGATAGATAGGATTAGATAGATAGGATTAGATAGATAGGATTAGATAGATAGGATTAGATAGACAGGATTAGATAGACAGGATGAGATAGATAGGATTAGATAGATAGGATAAGATAGATAGATACGATTAGATAGATAAGATTAGATAGATAGGATTCGATAGATAGGATTCGATAGATAGGATTCGATAGATAGGATTCGATAGATAGGATTAGATAGATAGGGTTAGATAGATAGGATTAGATAGATAGGATTAGATAGATAGGATTAGATAGATAGATAGATAGATAGAGATAGATAGATAGAAATATAGATTAGATTAGATTAGATTAGATTAAATAGATAGATAGATAGATTAGATTAGATTAGATTAGTTAGATAGATTAGATTAGATTAGATAGATAGATAGATTAGATAGATTAGATAGATTAGATAGATTAGATTAGATTGGATTGGATTGGATTAGATTAGATTAGATTGGACTAGATTAGATTAGATTAGATAGATAGGATAAGATAGATAGATAAGATTAGGTAGATAAGATTAGATAGATAGGATTAGATAGATAGGATTAGATAGATAGGATTAGATAGATAGGATTAGATAGATAGGATTAGATAGATAGGATTAGATAGATAGGATTAGATAGATAGATAGATTAGATTCGATTAGATTAGATTAGAATAGATAGATAGATAGATAGATAGATAGTATATATATAGAGTAGATAGATATAGAGTAGATAGATATAGAGTAGATAGTAGATAGCAATAGAGTAGATAGATATAGAGTAGATAGGTATAGAGTAGGTAGATAGATAGATAGATAGATAGATAGATAGACAGATAGATAGATAGATCGATCGATCGATAGGTAGATAGATAGATAGATAGATAGATATACATGGATGGGTGGATGGATGGATGGATGGATGGATAGATAGTAGATATATATATAGATTAGATAGATTAGATAGATTAGATAGATTAGATAGATAGATGGATAGATAGATAAGATAAGATTAGACAAGATTAGATAAGATTAGATAAGATTAGATAAGATTAGATTAGATAGATAGATAGATAGATAGATAGATATAGAGTAGATACTCAATATTTTATAAGCCTTTCACAGAATCCCAAAAAGCTACAAGGCCGTCCCTACCAGAGATTGTGGTCTCCACCCACCACCGAGGCAACTGGGAAAACATCTTGAAGGCCGATGGCACAACCGTGCCATTTATGACCACAGTTTGTTGGGAGCTTTCCGAAGTCATGGGGATACCCCTAAAATCATCCATTTTAGATTGGGATGTTCCATTAGAAAGCATCCAGCTATTGGGGTACCCCCATTTTAGGAAACCTCTTGGAGATTGATGTCAATGCAGTGAACAAGAATATAGACAGAAATGACATGCAGCAATACAATCATTTTGCATCATTTAGCCATATATCAGGAACGACAAATGAGGAGTCTATGGGCATGTCCAAGACTTGAAAAATCCCAATAGATTCATCGTCGAATCTTTCATCGTGCCCCCACTGATGGACACGCGAGGTATAAGTCAAACCCTTATTTTGTTTCATGATTTTGTTCCAGAATCCTGTTGGTTCCATTTCCATGTTGTTAGGCGCAATCCCGATTGCCAGGACTTTCGAAAAATGCAAGTCCAGATCCAGTCCCAGATAGGCCTCCGACGACCGGGGGTGATGATGCTGGTGCCCTCTGCACTGTGAGCAGAAATTGCTGGACACTTTGTGAACTCACTTTTGGGTCAAAACTGCATTGAACAATATTGAAGATCTTGAAATGTAAAGAGAATGGAACGTATGGTACTGGTACTGTAACTTTGGGGCTTTCTACATATCCCTTAGGTGAAGAGGGCTTTATTTCAGTTGGTTTCAAGCCGGGTACACCTTGGTTTGGTCGATTTAGATTGGTAAAGCCGGGAGATGTCGTTTGAAGCTGAGCAGGACGAGGAAGTAACTTTGTGATTTGCTGTTGGTTTTTGTTGTGATTTTCTCCTTGAAACTCAGGGTTTGGATTGTTTGAATTCTGGCATTTTGACAAACTTTGAGTTGAAGAGGGTTCCGGGATTTTTCAGCGTAGTATTCATGGACCTCCATTCTCACTGGTCGGTTGATGAAAAAAGAGAGGTCCCTTCATTTTTGGACAGCCGATTCAACTGATGAACAACATATTCTGGTCAATGACGAAAAAGTTGTAATTGCAACAACATGAATAATGGTTCCTCATTCCCATCAGATAGATCATGATGGTAAATTGCCCCATCACAGGAAGCTGAGCCGTTTCACTGACGGCGGGCCGTGGCAACAAGCCAATGATTCGTCCATGATAAGGAGAATTGAATGAAGACAAAGGCATAATTATGCACACATGTCGGGGAACAATATTTATATATATATGGGTCATATATTAAATACCCATTAGTGATGATTAATGGCAATTATAATACGCACCGGACTATCGGAGGCGACATAAACCATAGAAAATCAGCCTTGTTTATTAAAAAACATTGACAACTGGGGCATTTGCCAACCAGTCTAGGCTGTGCTGGTCCAAACTTCTCATCAACTTCCTGCTCTGCAATCTCCTACATGTGCTGAAATATGATGGCGCTATGACGCTATGATCCCGAAAATACCAATCGGTTCTAAATTACAACTGACTCCATCCAATAGAAACCCATACCCTCTGGTAATCAAACATGGCAATTGGAAATCCATTAATGGAGGTTTGAGTGCGCACAATCTATAGATGGTGAATTTTCCATTGGTTTGTTCGCGGTTGTCACAGCTGCCGTGCTTGGCCGAGAGATGCCGTGCTTGGCCGACACAGGGGATGGAAAAAAACCAGCAATTTTTAGTAACCCATGAGCCCATGAGTCAGCCATAGTAAAACTACTAAAAATACTAAAGCCCATTGAGTGTTTCATGAGTACCATTGAGCATACCCTATGTTTGACCCAAAGATCCCAAATGGACCATGGACCATGGCGATCTCAGTTTTCGACCTTGCCACGAAGCTAAGGAAACCATCACACATCCCCTCCCCCTTTTTTAGACAAACCCAAACCCATTTTTAAACTACTCACTAAGCTGCGAGACTATCATACTGAATCAATCGGTCAAAATAGATCTGAACGGTGCGATGACTAGATCCAAATATATGCAAATCCATGCAAATCCCCTCAAATCCCGAAAAAGTCTTTTTTTTTCCAATTTTTTTCTAGGATGTTGGCAGATGATATTGAGCTCATAATTTTGTGATCAGCTTTTCTGGCCTCCATGGCACACATAGCTGGCATTGCCCTGAGCCGCAAGCTGTGAAAAGGTCCTTGGAGGGGCTGGGTTCAGCTTGCTTTTTAAGCTGTCACTGGGTTGGTTTAGGAAAAAATGCAGGAAACCACATGTGTTTTGAAGATGTACATTTTCTATCATTTTCTAAAGAACCAATTCTACCGAGATTTTCTGTATGAATAATCCCCTCCAACCAGAAGAAACGGATTGTCGGCCAAGATGCAATGAACGGCGAAACGAGCATTGCCCACACGGCGGAGCGGGAAAGACGAGTGCATTCGATCGCTTTCAGACACAAGATGCAAGGATGTGCTAGGTTCGCTGTGCCGCTGATAAAAGGCGATGTGGCTGAAACAAAAACAGTCGCGGCGTCGGAGCGACGTATTTGAACATTCGCGGCGAAGATCGAGCGCGGAAAACTGGGAAAGTATCGGAAGTGATGACAGAAAATTCCAATCCCTGTTCATATTAAATGGGTCCCATTTTTTGTGGTTTCATCCCCTAATTACTTTTTGCCATGGTTTTTAATAGGCAGCGATTCACCGACCTTGGGTGACCTTTCTCCGACCGAGAGAATGGCGTCCGCCTCATCACGAGAGAGAGAGAGAGAGCGTCCGTTGGAGCGTGTGAAACTTGGTTACCCTCTGGGTATGGCTAACATATAGCCATGGTATAGATGGCCCATAGAAATAGATGGTTTACCTATTGAAGGTGGTGATTTTCCATGGCTATGGTAAATAACCAAATGGTGCTTGATGTATCTTGATGTTACTTGTTCCATATACCCTCTGGATCCCTCTGGTAATTTGTTACATTGGAATTCTCCGGTAGAGTCAAGGGCGCCCCTTGCTGGTGTCCGACAAAGCGTTGCAAAGCGGTCCGAACTGCGCAGAGTAACTTTCGACCAGCAGGGTCGCGTGATGCGCTGTTTATCGGATGATACACATCTCCAAAAATTCCACAAATAGACTCATATCCTGAATGGGTTTTATGAACGTTTACGAACCTATGTATATATATATATATTATACAATATTATACATACTGCACATTAATTATTATATATATATATTTTTACAAGTGGGGCAAACGAAAATCGGGTACTACACTACTTTGCCACACAGCTCTGAATCGCTCCTTGATTTCCATCATGCCTGGGATCGCGACATCTGCCCAGAAAACATGTCGTGGAAATACTGCGAAAGCGAAAGAAATGGAACCGCAATGTGAATCTTTGTCGTACTTTGTCATATCATGTATTGTCATACAACATTATACAACATTATACAACATTACAACCTGTCACAACGCCTTTTGTGACTTCAAACATCAACGAGACGTGGGCACGATGCGGGACTATCTTGGACCATAAAAACGCGTAACCGGCGTAACCAAAACCAAAACCGGAAAAAACCAGTCCAGCTCTCCGATTAAAAGATATAAGACGTGACATCCCCTGACGATGTCCTGAACTGTCGCAGGCGAGATTGAGGTGTTTTGGCCGGGGGTTCGAAGACTTCGATTCGGGGAACATCCTTCGCGCTTGTACTGCACGAGAATGGCACGAGAATGAACCACTGCATGGTGTTTATTGTATCGTATTCTCGTATAGAATGCGAATGCCCTTGCGCTGCATTCATTGGCGGATACAGTAGTGTCATACAGTGTCGATATGCAGCAGGTGAGTGAAACATGCTATTTCAGAATCGTTCACAGGACAGAAGTTGTACCTAAGAGGTTGGCCTTCACAGTTGGGTTTGTGTCACTTTTTGATCCTTTTTGTTGTTGGCTCATCTACATGTACATCTTCCTATAAGTGTATATATTCGTGATTATTAACGCCTGTTCATACATGCAAGTACAGTGTGCATGCATTCATGCGTTCACGCAAACAAATGCGTACAATACATAGCATGCAGAAACACAAGCATACATACAGACATCCAAACTTCCAAATCTACAGACACTGACATGCACGAGCAACTTGCTGCTTTTAAAGCGGCGTGTGCGCAATTATTGTCAAAATGGGTGGATTTGCTTGAAGCTGAACACACGGAAGGAATAAACAAACGCAGCGTTCCAAACTCAGGTCAGTATTCTAAATGAGATTAGGTAATACAAAGCGAACTCGCATCCACCTAGCCCTTTGAAGTAGGGTTGGAAAATAATCACGGTCCTACCTGTGCTGTGGCATGATATCAGCTGGGTCCCTGTGGAAAGCTACATCTTGCTAGTCATCATTTTGTAGATTGTCTCACGATGACAACTGCGGACCTATATCTTGCAAAGAATCTGGTTCGTGACAGTTGAATGTACAAAGGACTGGAAGAATATAGATATTTTCTTCACAACTCAATTTGCGGGGATAAACATGTGCAGCTGGGAACAGATCTTGCAAAAAAACATATCCCGTGCTCCAAAATAAGAACCGGAAGGTTCAGTGCCAACTTGGATAGTTCTAGTGAAATCGTGCGTACCGCCTGTCAAATATGGGTTGTTTCTTTGTGTCAGTTCTTCCTCTTACTCCTCTTCCTCTCCCTTCTTCCCTTCCTCCTCTTCTGGTTCCTCCCCCTTCCCCCTCTTCCTGCTCTTCCTCCCCCCTTACTCTTCGTCCTCATCTTTACCTCCTCTCCCTCTACTTCTCATCGCTTTCTTTGCGCTGCTATCAACTCAGTGTGTATGGTTGTGTGTATTCTCCAAAGATGTCATCCCCATAGCAAGCTAGCGGATCGTGTGCCCCACCGGGCCTCATGCCTCTAGCTCGGGGGCTGGCGCGTGCTTCAGCCAATCGCACGTTCAGGCGCAAGGCTTTTGCAATCATCAACCACCTGACCATATGGCAAGTTCGCGATCAATGTTTGCCCCACCATCATTGATTGCAACAGCCTCTCAGGTAGTGTAAGCGTAGGCCTCGCCAAGCCCCCTTGACCGCCTTGCTGATAACAATTTCACGGGGTTGTGTTTTCGTGTGCGTGTTGAGACATTGTTGTTGAACCGATTCCAACGAATATGTTGCGGAACATGGCAAAGGTGAATGTTAAGACCTCTGTTAGAATACGTGCGAAAATATACATGGGAGCCGTCCGTAAAAGCAGGTCACAAATTTATGAATTGATGCGTTTACTTTGTTTTGCGCGATTGCTAAAACCTGCATCGCGATAGGCTGAGCGATTGGTTGGCGATTGGTTATACGGCTACCACCCTATTACTACTACTACTACTACTACTACTACTACTGCTAGTACTATACTAGTACTACTACTAGTACTACTACTAGTACTACTACTAGTAGTACTACTACTAGTAGTACTACTACTAGTAGTACTACTACTACTAGTAGTAGTAGTAGTACTACTACTACTACTCCTACTACTACTACTAATACTACTACTACTACTACTACTACTACTACTCGTACTACTCGTACTACTTTTACTACTAGTACTGCTAGTACTACTAGTACTAGTACTAGTGCTACTACTACTACTACTACTACTACTACGACTACTACGACTATTACGACTACTACTACTACGACTACGACTACGATTACTACTACTACTACTACTACTACTACTAGCACGAGTACGACTACTACTACTACTACTTCTTCTACTACTACTACTACTACTAGTACGAGTACGACTACTACTACTACTACTACGACTACTACTACTACCACTACTACTACTACTACTACTAGTAGCTCCTGCCGATCACTTTAAGCGGTTCCACCAACAGAAGCGGGTGTACCCCGGACCGGACGTATTCTTGGGGGGAGCGATCCAGGGCCTTGCGCAACTTAATGCATACCCCTAAAGGAATGCGTCGAAAACAGAACGGGGCTGGTGATCGGTAAGGAGGATAGTGAGATACCCGAAGCTATTACAAGATATATAGTGGCATTATACTGAGTGGCAGTCTCCACTATTACATTTCGAAAGTTCTGCCTTTGTTTTTTTTTCCAAATGACAAAGGTCCCACTGAAGGGTCAGAAACCAGTCAGAAACCAGTCAGA